AAGGTAGAACCCATGGGCCCCTAGTATGGGCCCTTAACCCTGGGACCCTAATATACCTACTATGTACCTTATATATACCCTTCAGGGACCCTAGAATCCCCTAAGGGCCCATGTTAGGGGCCCATGGGTTCAACCTAAGACAATGTCCCATGGCGCAGGATCCACCGGTTTAGGGCTCTAGGGGATTTCGGGTTGAGGGTTTAAGGGTCTATAGGGTTCAGGGGTTTAGGGGTTTGGGTTTTATGGGTTTAAGGGTTTAGGGGTGGAGGGGTTAGGGTTTATGGATTTAAGGGTTTAGGGGTTAGAGTTCGTGCGCTTATGTTTAGGGTTTGTTAGATTCTGAATTGCAGGGTAAGACCCCTGCACGGATGGTATAAATTCCTCACTGATCAAGCCCAAGCCCTAAAGCCCGTAAACACGTAAGCCCTAAAGCCCTTAACTCTAAACCCGTAAAGCCTAAACCCTGCCACCTCAACCCTAAACCCCAAACCCTAAACCCTAAACCGTAAAGGGTTCGAGAGTCTCTGCGTTCAACCCAGCCAGACTGGCTCAGGATTTGATCTTTCAGCAGATTCCATGGCAACTTGAACTACAAGAAACGACAGCCGGGGAGTTTAGGATATATAGAAAGCTTCTATAAGGCTTCTACAAGCTATTCCCTAAACCCTGAACCCTAAACCCTAGTAGACCTTCTATAAGGCTCCTAGAACGGTAACTCCCCACCTGAAAGTGTCCCAGACCATGGCAACTTGAACCTTCTAACAGAGTCTTCGCAATAAGAGCGGGCTCTTGGGGTAGACTATAGTATAGCTACATAGTCAGGAACCTGAAGGGGTAGTTTCTATAGGCTTACATGTTTGTCAAGGGCATTGGGTTTAGGGTTTCCACGTTCACCAACTGGCGTGGGAGTTTCAAAACTGATTGTTGCAGGGTTTAGGGTTAGTTCGATTAGGGCTATACGGCTTAGGGTTCAGGGATTAGAGCTTACAGTTTAGGATTTGGGCTTTAGCGTTTTTGTTTACACATGCGTTATTTGGGGGCGAAGGTAAGTCCTGAAACCGGCAGCTCAGGGTTTACGGTTTAAGGGTTTAGGGGCTTAGGGCTTATAGGGCTTATAGGCATTATAGGGCTTATAGGGTTTATAGGGTTTTTACGGTTTAGGGCTTAGGGTTTAGGGTTTAGGGTCTAGCAATCCACTGTGGGGAAAGCCACGGTTTTAGGGTTTAGGGTTCCAGGAATCTGCCAAAAGGTTGTGGTGTGTGGGAGTGTCCCAGTTGCGTCTGCGGCAGTGCATTTTGCAGGCCGTCGTGAAAATCAGATGGGATCACAGACTTTCCCACATGTCTGCTCTGCTGGAGTCTGGAGCACACAGAATTATTCTGTAGGGTTCCTTCTGTTGAATAATATCTGTACTACAATATACAGGAAAGCCCTACACTGATGCTTCAGGCCCTATTCGTGGACCTTAAAATACCCTAAGGCTTAGTATATACTTTGGCGCTGAAGTACCAAAGTGGGAACCCCTATAAGGCCTAAGTATATACTATACGAACACATGGGACCTTATACCCAAATCCCTGATGGTGTTCCGATCCAAACCATTCTGGTACCCTTAAGGTATATGCACCCTTCGGCTGAGAACACAGCTACTTGGAGGTTCATGGGTAGTTAGAAGTAGTGTTATAAGTCCCCTGATATGGGCCATCTTTCTAGTTACCCTACTTTTAACCCCACTTATAACTACCAATGAACCTGCAAAAAGTGTTCCCTGGACTGCATGAACAACCAAGGGCGAACATGGAAAACCTGCTGTGGGCTCTTGAAATTGTCGGAGCGCCATTCAGGGTTTAGAGTTGAGGGATTTGGGGTTTAGGGTGTAGGGTTTATAAAGCTCAGGGATTTGATTAGGGTTTTTTGGGGGTCAGGGGTAGGGGTCTTTGTAATGAGGAACATACTTTTGAGGTCTCTTGCTTTTGTCGCCACTGAAACAGCGATATACAGTTCTCCAGTTCCAAGGCTCTCCCGACAAAAAGTTGCAGGTGACATCGATGGCGCTCTTCGCAAATTTCGGATTTTTGGTCGAGATACTTCTGGAGTTTAGGGGCTTAGACGAGGGCGGCTATAGATAGGATCTCCCCATTTAGAGCGCTCGTGCCCCTGCGTAAAGTGCCAGGACAGCTCGTCCGCCTTTGGCGGGTAAAGCCGCGCCGGCGCTGCAGATAACCTTATTCCAGGACCTCTGCAATTCTGGCGTCTTCCTGCACAGGCCGGGAAGTCGTGAGGACTTGTGTTTCTCCTCATGGAGTCTCTACGCCAAGGACTGGTGCCCCACCTATATGTCCTTTGAAACAGGTCTCTCTTGCTGTCTCATGGCTTATGTCTTCTCAAAGTTTCGGGTTCGCAAACATGGCATGAAACTTGTCAAGAGTCTCGGCCACAACACGTCTAACATCCTTAAGGTGTAGACTTGGTCACCGTGAATCCCTTCCCAAACCATGGAGCCTTGCAATGTACGTACAGCCAAAGACCTAGGCGCAGTAAAGTAAACATAATCTCATAATATGAATATAGGCGGACTAAACCCTCGAAGCCTTCTAAGCCCCAAGTTGCCTTGTGCCTTACATGGGCTCGTCCACGATGAGGGTGTCGATGGAGGACTGTCTCATGGGCTCGACGTCGGCAGGAGTAATCCTGATTTAGACGGTGGTATCATGGCTCTTCATCAGTTTAGGGTTTAGGGTTTAGGGGGTTGATGCGCAAAGGGTTTTACACACAAACAAACAAACACAGAATCCGACAATCAAAGAGTCAAGCAAGCACGTAAGCAAGCAAGCAACCAACCAAACAAACAGCACTACATAAATGCGTACTTACATATATGCATACATGCATGCAGACATACTTACATACACACATGCATACATACATACACCCAGGCAAACATACATTCATACAAACATACAGGCATACATACATACATACATACATACATACATACATACATACATACATACTGTTACATACACACATACATACATTCATACGTGCATACATGATTACATACGTGCATCCATACATACATGCATACATGCATACATACATATACCTACACGTAGATATATACACTGCTTCATAGATACATACGTACGTACATACATACCTACACGCACATGCACACACACACACAACGTTCTCTCTCTCTCTCTATATATATATATGTATGTATGTGTGTGTGTGTCTGTGTCTGTGTACATATATATGTATGTATGTATGTATGCATGTATGTGTATATATATATATAACATATGCATGCATACATGCATGCATGCATGCAGATAGAGATCGATAGATACATAGGTAGGTAGATAGTTACATATATATGTATATAGATAGATAGATAGATAGATAGATAGATAGATAGATGGATAGATAGATGGTTAATTAGATAGGTAGATAGATAGATAGATAGATAGATAGATAGATAAACAGACACGTAGGCAGATAGATAGACAAAGGAACAGATAGATAGCAATGTGTCGTACATGTATAGGCAATTTGAGCATATGTATACTCTCAGGTCTCGTTGCTTCGTTTTGTGTCAGTGGGGTCCTTGCGGTTTAGGGTCTCGTGAGTCTTCGGTCTCGTGAGTCTTCGGTCTCGTGAGTTTGAGGGCTTGCGGAGGTCACGCGCGGCTCAGTGCATAGTGAACTAGCTGTTTTGGCTTAGGGGTTTAGGGTTTAGGGTTCAGGCTTAAGGGTTCCATCCTAAACCTAACATCCTAAACCCAAGCCCCAAAGCCTGAAGAACTTACAACGACCCACAGAGCCAGCCTATCTGGAAGAGCCACTGGAATACCCTAGCAACAAGTTGCAAACAGTGTCCTTTAGGGCCGGATTTAGACAAAGGGGTCCGCTTATGGACACTACACCAAAGGTAAAGTGGCGGATTTGCCTAGTGGAAGGGAAGGCTATCGGCCGAAGACCCTTTCATCGAATATTGTCGGTGCAGACAATGGCTGGGCTTCGAAAGGGTTTAGGGTTTAGGGTTTAGGGTTTAGGGTGAAAAAACTCCTGGTGCATAATGATTCCAATGAGGAACAGGTCAACAACAAGCCTTAAAGTATGGTGCTCCAGAACCCGCATGGTGAGGACGAGAGCTGTCTCGAACACGCGACTCGTCACTCCGTTAAAACCTGCGTCTATTCCGCACATACCCTAAACCCTAAATCCTAAACCCCATTGTACATCCCTCTCTGAAGGGCCTCACGGTTAGGATCATCATTCTCCTTGAGGAAGGAGGGCATATAACCAGGTGTTGACACTGCTGTATCTTAAGTTTGTTAAAGATTACATGACATTCTGCGGCCCAGAATCCTAAAGATTCCAGTTTTTCGGCTCGACACCTCTCCCCCCCGAAATCCGATGGACAGCCCCGCAAAGATCTGCCTGAAGAGCTCGTCTCAACGGAACACCCTTTCACACCCCCTGAAACAACACTGTGCACCCCTGAAACCAACAACTACGGCCATGCTGCTGCATTCAAAATTCCATCTAAGGCGTCATATACGCATGTAGCATAGACTTGCCTTACGTACTAAGGAGGTTCCTATATAGGTACTTTAAGGCCTAAGTATGTACTATATAGGTACATGGAGCCTTAAACCCTAGAGCCCTTATCAAACCCTTACAGGAACCCAAACCCTAAACCCTAAACCCTTAAAGGAATCCACCCCTAAACCCTAAACCCTTAAACCCTAAAGCCTTAAAGGAATCCTCAAAGGAACCCTTTCGCTAAGGGTCCACATGCCTATTCATCATATACTCTCCCGGAAATGACCTTAGATATTTACTACCCGTAACCAGAGTATCTTATCGTTGGGTCCATGGGGTCCTTAGTGTTTGGTAGGAGTCTCAACACCCCTGAAAGGCTATAGGCTTCATACCCGAGTCCCTAAACATGTGGAAAGCTGAAACCCACAAGCACCAAACCCCATAGCTTAACGGTGAGATATATATATATATATATATATAGTATATCATATTGTGTGAATGTAATCTATAAATATATACATGTATATGAATAAATAAATATATATAAATATATATATATATATATATGTGTGACTCTGGATGCAAGGCCTCAAAAGTCCGCAGCCCCCAAGCCTACTAAGATACAGTCCCAGAGGCCATATGCCGGAGTCCGTTAATGAGTCGATCACGGCCACCTCCTCACGTGGCTTCACGGGTTTGGAGGCTTGCTTCTAGGTTCATGGGTTTTTCTGAGTGGAGCTGTAAAACCCATAATATGGGCCAAACCCTAAACCCTAAACCCTAAACCCCAAAGTTACCTTACTTATAACTGCAAAGCTGTTGCGCGTAGTTTCCTGCGCTGCAGAGCCGAACCCTCGGAACTCTCTACTTGGAGGATCATGGGACTTAGGAAGTAAGGTTATAAGTCCCTAAGTCCCCTAATTGGGGTTATAGGTAGGTCCCCTAACTGGGGTTATAGGTACAATTACGCTAATTATAACCCTACTTACTAAGTCCCATGATCCTTGAAGTAAAAAGCAAGAGCATCCCATCGTGGTCCGGTCCGCAGATTGACTCGGAGGGCTAACTGGTTTGGGCAAAGGGTTTAAACTTTGTGCGTGCGGAGCTTTTTGAGATGGGTGAACCTTTGAGGGTATAGTATAGGCGATCAAGGAACCTATGCCCTAATGTGGGGGGCCTCAATAATTAGAATAGGGTCTTGGCGTATATTATACTATAGTTGTTACACGGAACCCCCGAAATAGCTGTGGTAATTGTTTAGGCTCCTATATGGGAGTTTCCGAAA